ATTATCTCCTCCAACGTCGAGCTTACAAACAGGACCAACATCGTTTACGGGCAATCAACTGACGTGAGGCCCTGCGCAAGACACTCGACAACTTCAGCGACGAAGAGATCGAAGCCTTCAGGTTGCTGTTTGCAGCAGCCGATGCAGCTCAGCTCGGCTTGGTCTCACATACAGCAATCCCACAGGCTGTGCATGATCTTGGGCACACGTGTCAACACCCACAGTCCGTGGTTGTTGGAAGATTTCGATCCGGCATACGCAGACCTAGTAGACTTCGAGCATTTCCTGTACGGCATGCACTCCGTCCGCTTGTACCAGCAGCAGCTCAAGACACAAGCAGAAAAGCCATCCAGCAATTAAGCATGTTGTCGATGAGAAGCTCATAAGATCGTCCGATCGATTCGGCCCTGTGCTGATCCACGCGCCGAACCGCTGGTGAAGAGGCAAAATCTGCTTCGTGAAGTGAGAGACCGGCGCGAGTCTCTAGCTCACAAACTTCTGCGGAAAGTTGGTGGGAAACTCCCAACGTTGCAACGGGGTAAGAGTGCCAGTCCCGCATCGATCGACGAGTTGAACGAAGACTTGTCTGATGGAGAGGAGACCAAGAGCTCGACACCCCCACCTACTGGCACGTACGTGTTCTGGCAGAACCGCAAGTTGTCGCCCAAGAAGCGCGCGCTGGAGGCGGTTTTGTAGAAAAAGCACCAGGGACGAGTCAAATGGGAGAGACGACAGCGACATGGAGCTAAACCCCACATAACTGCGGTGCCGCTGGTTGCAGTAACTCGACTGAAGACGTCTGGATATCCTGCCAAACGAGCGCTCAAGAGTCTGGTCAGGAAGGAGCGCCTGCAGCTCCAGGGAACGCAGCAACGCCAGAGACTTTGTCTGTGGCTGGAGAGGACAGAGAGAAGCAACTGGAGCTGATGGCTCCAGTTGATGAACCGCGATGCAGCGAGACGACAGAGGACCACGCAGAGAGTTGTGGGTCGTGGTGGTGACGATGTCGCAGTACTATGCGTGAGTAATATAATCGCACCACGCTCGACAACAGTGGAGCTATGCCGAGACGTTTGCATGAGTTCAACGTGGAAAAGGGGACGCCCATGGCCAAGCCCTTCGATGCGTTCGACGAGCTGGTAATCGGTCTCCAAACGTTGGGAGAGCCGGTGAACGAGGCACGGTAGATGGTTGTACAGCTGAGTAGCATGCCGGCCGAGTACAAAACGATAGTGTCGATCGTGGAGAACACGAAGGATATCGAGATGAAGGAGAAGCTTCTAAAAGAACAAGAACGTTTGCAGAAGCAGGACACCACGGAGAAGGCGTTCCACGTAAATGAAAACCCTGGACGGTTCAAGGGAGGCCGCATAAACGGTCATAACGGCAACCCTAAGAATAGAAGCGGTGGTTACAAGAGCAAGTGCTTCAGGTGTGCCCAATCCACATTACCATCACTTCATTTGTGCATTGGTATATCCATGTCACTTTCCTTCTCGTCAATCCATCTTCTTTTTGTGTATCCATCTTTTGGATACCGGAAATGTACCCATCGTATCTTTGCTGAATAGATCATCACCAAATATCAATAGTCATACTCCACAATTTCTGGCACAACCCTAGACCGATTCGGGTTGAAATGAATGGCTGAGAATTTTCCTCCAATCACAATGCGTCAACCGTCCCTCTGATCACTGCCTTTCAAAGAGAGATTTACTCGCGAGGTGACAGGCGGTGATGAGACACCGCGTTGCACGCAGATCCAAAAGAGACTTCCAGACAGTCGGAACTGTTGCCCAACTGGCAGAGGTCGCGTCCCATCTTAGCCCTGTCCCACACATCATTTCTTGGAGAACTCCAAATCCGAAAATCGCTTCTCGAGCCACATTTCCTCCAAGCGCACTCGCTAGAAAACCCATGGCTCCTAACGGCGGTAAGGCCACTCCTGCTCACTCTGCTCCGAAGTCTTCCCCGCGCATATCGGCGCCGGCGCACACCTCAGGCCACACCCAGGACAGGGGCCACACTGAGGGTGGCGGCGATCCCGCATCCAGCACCCAGCCATCTCCGCAGCGCCGCAGCTCTAGTGATGAGAGCGAAAATCTCTCCAAGGACGGTGCCGAGGATGAAGGGCCGGTTGAGGTGGAGTCTTCCAGTGGTGACAGCGATGATGACGAGGCTTCAAACGCTGGTGGGTCGTCGAAAGGATCTCACGCAACTAAGGAGTCGGCAGTTGACCAGCCAACACCTAAACGGACTTCTCGTACACTCAAGATGTCTGAGCTAGAGTGTATGGTGGACAACTCGAAGGAGGCTCGCGCAGATAAGACGAAGCGCAAGACACCGGCGACTATGACTCTCTCCCCGACCTCGAGCACCAAATTGACTTTCGGAACGTCCGGTGAAACTCGTCTGGTGGGCATTCCTGCGACCCGAGAACAACTGAAGACTGGCGCCTTCATTCAAGATGGCTACGGTGGCCTCGAGACCCTGGTCCAGATGGAGTCTCTCGGGCTCCAAGAGCTAGGCTCCCTTGCTGATTACGTGGCTGATGGCGAAGATATCTACGATTTCGTACTGACTCCGCGTGACGCGCCGCTTCTGGACAGAGACCTAGACGAAGCTGTCAAGTCTGTGGAATTCCAACGCGAGGTACCCTCTATCCTGACAGAGTTCACCCCTGATCAACTTGCGCAGCGTGTTTTCGGGACCGTCTCAATTCTTCGAAAAGTGACCGCGGAACGGACGATGCTCTCCCGTCAGCTCGCTCTTGCCGACCAGACTACACAAGACGTGGCTAAAGGAATTGTCGAGATCGAGCGGCTCAATAAGGAGCTCGTGTTTGTCAGTGATAGTCTCAAGAGGCACGTCCAAAAGCAAGACGAGGATCACGAATTTCACGCTGGCCGTCATCGTGCGGATCTCCAAAAGTATCTTTCCGAGGAGCAGGCGAACGTTCGAGGGCTTCAAGCGCAAGTCTCGACTCTCCAGGCACGACTTCGAGCGGAAGATGCGCATCGAGGTGCATATCGTCAGCCGCGTTTGGATATCGATCAAGTCATGAATTTTCTGAACGCGAATTCTCAGCTCAGCTTGCAATGGCCTCGCTTGCGTTCACTCCTTGAACACTATCGGGACAACACCCAGATTCCTTCCTCTTGGAGAACTATCATCTCTATCATGGCTGCTGACGATCCGTCGGTATCAACTTCCGCCTACGTCCCCGTGTCGCGTTCAGATGGTGATGGTGATGGAGAGAGCAAAAACGACAGCTCCTCTCAGGGTCACCCTCGTGGCTCATTCCTGGATCTTACCCGTGACTCGGAGACGAAACCTTCCGGGGTTGGTGCTAAGCGCAAGCGTTCATCCAAAGGGACGAAAAAAGCCCGCGAGCAGGTATCGCCCGATGTGCCAGCTGAGATCCAAGAGTATCCTTCCGAGTGGATTCGTGAGTCGGCCGATCCGTGTCGCCCAGATGGCGAACTCTTACTTCGCGACGTCGAGTCAGCTCGCGAAATGTTGAAACCCTTCCCAGTAGTTTGGAGTAGTTTGCGTTTAGATGTTCGCGCCATGATTCTTTATGGTATCAACTACGAAGGTGCTCTTGAATGGCTCGGCGAAGATCGCTCTGTACACGGCTGCTTCCATTAAGGCCCGGTTTTGGAGATCTTGCTCCGAATGATGTTTTGGAATGAGCTTGATGACACCCCTTGGACCAAGTACGTCCCACGTCGTTACTTCGTGGTTGCCCGCGCCAAATTGGATTCACTTCTGGAAAACGATGAGCACCCTAACCTTTGGGGACCACTCGTGCCCGTCGTCGAGGATTTCATGGGTGGTGAAACTCAGTCTCCTGAGCGTGATGATCCCACGGATCAAAATTGGACCAACGATCCTCGCGATGCCGGGGATGATGACGACGACTATGACGATCCCATGAGGGAATCTCCCTCCAAAAGTACTCGTGCTCAGACGAAACGACGTCGCATTGCTCCTGCGGAGACCAAAAATCCTGCTAAACGCCAACATCAGCGGAAGCCTTGTACCGCCTTAGCGCTGAAGGAACACTTGACCGAAGACGAGATGATGATTATCGAGGTCCCTCGCGATGATGAAGTTCGTTCCTGGGTACACTTTGGAGTGCGCATGAAGTGGTGTGACAAGTCCATTAACTCGCCTTTTGGACAGACGCCTGGTTTTCCCGCTTATACTCCTAATCGTCACGACTTGGTGATCCTCCAAAGGCGTTTTGCGGAATATTTCGAGGAGTATAGGGAGATTCTTCGAGGAGCTCCTTGGCGAGACATGTGGAGAAATCGACCCAAATTATTTTACTTCCACAAGCGTTCCAAAATGACTCTGGCTGCGCAGGGCGCCCTCGACTCCTGGGTCGAGTACATGTGTGCGTCGATGCGTCATCAATGGGAAATGCTACATTGGGTCATCTTTCGTTTTGAATTCCTCCCAGAATCAGCTGTGTTAGCCGAGTCTCACCGCAGCAAACGTCACGAATCCCTCGTCAAGAAGGGTCGGTCTCTCAAAAAAGCGTTGCGTTCAGAAGGGCGTCCCGGAAACCGTCTTCGAGTGGGAAGCTAGCGTCTGGGACATCCCCCACCGCGTTTGTCATTGGATTCTCATGGGTAGGAATCAGCTGGACCCTGCTACTAAGAAACCATACTCGCTGCGCGAGCAACTGCGCCGTTTGGACAAGGCCGAGCCGGCTCGTGTCCAATGGACCAATTGCGCCACTGTCGAAGCGCAGATTGCTCACCTTCCGGAAGCTGTTCGCAAGAAAATCCTTCCAGAGGCGGAATGGGAACCACTTTCTGAGGACATTTAAGCGATTCCGTCTGGCGCAACCTACTAAGTGTAGCTCTTTTGGATACGTTCTTTCATAATCCACACCGATTTTAATCTTCAGAATGTGTTCTCTTCTTCTTTCGTTTTCCTCCATACTTTCCATTCCTGCATACAGCGCCTTACGGTCATCTTTCCAGATGTTAGTTTTGGGGATGATCGTCCACGGCTTGCATGCTTCGAAGGCGAGCTCGAGCACGTGCGCCTTGGTTAAACTCGTAAAGCAGACCTCCACAATTCAGTTGAGATGCGGGGAGCCATTCTGGATCGTTATAACCCTCCCACTTGGTAAGGTACTCTCGACGCCTTTTAGAGGTTCGAGTTTTCTTAAACCATCTGAGATCCAAAATCTTCTCAACCTCGTATTCACCCTTTTGGATATTGGCTTCCCAACTGTCCTCAGGGAGCAACGCAGCGTCGAAGTCGTCTTCTTCATCTTCATCCACACTGATTATTGGTCTTTTATGAAATAGAGCTCTTGGTTTCAGACGACTGATGTGAACCCACGGATTGACTCGGTAACCGGTACTGTCAACTTTCAGCTTCACCCTAAAATCATCCAACACTTCATCAATTCAAAAAGGTCCATGCCATAGGTGTGCCAACTTCTTGCTCAGTCCAGTCTGCACCTTTGGGATGTATAACCATACGGCGTCCCCTTTCTGAAAACCTGACTTCAGGCGTTCGGATAGTTCGTTCCAATTCTGCGTTTGGAGGTCGGAACGATGTCGTCGGGCTTTGTTCTGCAAGTCCTCGGCGCACGCTTGCGCGTAGCTATAGTCTCTCTGAACTTTGCGTCTCCATTCATAGGCAGTCTTTTCCGGTACGCTTGACGGTGTTGGACCCAACATCGCTTTTAGAGTACTTTGTGGATCCCAGCCATGAATCAAGTAGAACGGGGTGTCCAGACGTGTTGCGTCGAACGAAGTGTTCAGCGCAAACATCAGCCTTTCTGCATGATCATCCCAGTCACTCTGATCGGCCTGCTCGATATACGCACGAATACACCTGACGACCGTTTGGACGGATCGTTCCTGTTGTCCGTTCGCCTGAGGCCGGTATCCCAAAGTGGCTCTCTGACGTCTATGCAAGCGTTCCCGAAAACGAGTGAACACTTCGCTCATAAATCGGGGATCTTGATCGTGCCGGACCATCGAACTTGATCCGAAGTTCCGGAGTACTCGTTCCTCGTATGCCTCCGCAACATCCTGAGCGGTGGTTGAATTCATCGGCTTGCACATCACGTATCCCGAAAACATATCTTGAAATAGTAGCAAAAACGTATGCCCTCGATTGGACTTCGGCATATGCGTTACGAAGTCCATCGAGACCACTTCGAAAGGTTGTCTGGGTTCGATATTCCCGGGCGATGGTCCGGCATTTGGAGGTTTTCCTGTTCCACTCCCGCAATCAACGCATTCCTTCACAAAGTGTTCTACATCTGCGTACATCCCAGGCCAGTAAAATTCTGAACACAATCTCTTATAGGCCCTGGTGATGCCTTGGTGACCTCCTTGAAAGTCCTCGTGACCATAATGCAAGACATCATCCCTGAGAGCTTTTGGAACGACGAGTCGAGGTTCGTCCTGAAAATCGCGGGGGCGATCGCGGGTTGAGCGAGCCAATCGATACAACACGTCTCTAGTGTCTAGCACAAATAGAGCAGCCACCTTGGCGACCTTCCTCAATCTCCGGGGTGAAAACTTCTCGAAGTTCTCCTTCAGGAAGTCTTTGATCTCCGACAAGTATTCGTCTGCGTCGCCATCGTTCAGCCTGGAACTCCAGAGGGTCCATAGGCCGGTCTCTCAAGGTGGATTCGACTTGACTTCTGGAACGTGTCACGGCTGCGAGCACGCGAGCTGCTTTTGTCAATGGAGCTGACTCCGCAGTAAGCTGTTCAACGTCCCTTGACTGTGATCTTCCCGAAATTGGGTCAACTCCAGACTACAACTCGGAGTCTCCCACTTTCATGCGTTTCTCCGCAATCTTTGATACGTGCTCCAAATGCGCGATCTCGGCTGTATCCGTAACGTCCCATGACTCATCCAGGATCAGAGTCTTCGTGGTCAGATAATCGGCAGCCTGATTGTATTCCCCTTTCAGATGTACCAAACGTAATGATCCGAACTTCGCTTTCAGTATTTCAACTTTAGCAAGATGCGTCTGGAGATGTGGTTGGTTACAGTTGATCAGTCCTTGAACCTGTTGAATAACAATTCGAGAATCTCCGACTGCGACCAAATCTTGCAGCTTCATTTCGATGGCCATCTCGAGTCCTTTGAAAAGTCCATGGTACTCGGCATCGTTCACCGTGACATTCTCTAACAGGAAACCTTTCGCTTTCAGAACCTTCCAACCGGGTAGCTGCCATAGTACACAACCACAGCTGCCTTTCTTGGTGGAGAGCTTTGCGGCACCGTCGAAACTCAGAACGACTCCTTGGAAGTCACATCCCAACATCTCCACACTCACTACTGGGGGCCTTCGAACATGTCCCTTCGGGGGGATCAACGTTTCCACGGCCTCATCCAAATGTTCCCGTGGTGTGATCCCTGCTTCCATGATGGCTGCAAGTCCGTCTTCATCCTTTTGGACCTTTCGGATTTCGATATCCCAATGCGAGAGCGTGACTCCACAAGGGACGCACCTCCCGTCTGCCGACTTAGACTGTAACACCCATTTCAAGACAGAATATCTTGTGTAAATGATCAGTCGTCGACCTTCCAGAATAGTCCTAAATGCTTGTAACGCCGGCAGAATAGCGATCACTTCCTTCTCGGCAATGTGATACCGGAGTTCAGCATCGTTCAAAACGCGTCCCGTGTACCGAACAGGTTGTATCTTTCCGTCGTGTTCTTGTCCTACGACTGCACAACGGTTCGCGTGAGGAATGATCACAAACGGCTTTTGGATGTCCGGATGCCTCAACATTGGCGTTGCAACGATTTTCCTTTTAAGCAATTCGAATGATTCATGAGCTCGCGAGAGGTCTCGTCCCCGACGTATCTGGTCTTCTGAAAGTTCGTAGAGGACTGCTGCCACTACCGGAAAGTCTTCAATAAACTTATGGTAGTAGTTCAGACTGCCAAGAAATGATAGCACACCTTTGTGAGACGTGGGGAACGGTAGATCCATAACACCCTTCGCGACGTTTGGGGTCGCTCGGATACCTTCTGCAATAATCTCATGTAACAGATAAGGGATCGATCGTTTTCCAAACTCGCTCTTTGGTAAACTCACCGATATATTCCAGTAACGTAAACGATAGAGCAAAGTGTCCAGATCCTCACAAAGTTGGTCCCACGTTTTCGCACCGTGAGCAATGTCATTAATGTAAGAACTGCGCCATAGCACTGGACCGATGTGATGGCATAGGTATATTCCTTTGGAAAACCGTCATCAGATCCGTGAGTCCCTTCACCTCGTCGTTCAGACAACTCCTTTCAGATTCTTGGTTATCCGTAGGATTCAGGCCCAGGAAATCCAAGACGTCCTGATCGACCTCCGCTTCTTCTTCTGGAGGCAGTCTCACAAATCCCCATAGACAATTGTTGATAACCGATTGATATATCAGTGGCGCGTTCTTGAGTCCGAATGGCATACGAGTCCATTGGAAGTGTCCGAACGGACAGACAAACGCCGATATCAGCTTCGCTCTTTCGGACATCTTGATCGCCCAAAAGCCGCTCGCCATATCCAAGCTCATAAGACATCTTCAAATCCAACCAGCAGGTCATCTATTAGCGGTAGAGGGTAATTGGACAACGTAATGAATCCATTGACAATTCGGTAGTCGACACACATTTGAATATCCACACCATTTTTCTTGAGGACGATCACAATAGGTGATGCCCATGGTGATTTTGAGGGTTCGATGAGTCGGGTTTCCAAAAGCTTCTTCAACAGTTCATACACTTTGAGCGATAAATGGGGAGCCACTGATCGGGGGCGCTGAGCGACAGGGTTCGCCTCCCCAACATCCAAATCACAGGTGACACCCCGCGCCGGAGCTGGAACCGCATTTCCGTCTCCCAGAAAGATGGCTCGATGATATTTCAGAATTGTTCGCTGCTCGTCTTCTGGAGTACTCGTCCCTGATTCTCCAACGTCGGCCGAGTCGATATCACACTTCGGAGATAATTCTTTGATGTCCAGAAGCAATGCGAGTTGTTCCCGGAGTTGTGATAATGTCTCGCTCCCTTCGTGCACATAAACTGCGGGTTCGAGATCCAACTCTTCGGCACTTATTCGCATAACACGCTCGTACTCTAGCTCAAGCTGCTGCACTGGCGTACAAGCCATCACCGACACTGGCAAGTCCGAAAAGACATCATCTTCGGGTTCCACTTTTGGAATATCTTCCAAGCTAACTTCTGGAAAGCCATCTTCGACACTAATCGAGTCGAAGAATTCATCGTCATCGGAGTCTCGTCATCTAGCACTCTCTCAGTTTCGCCTGTTGGGACATCCGTTATTTCATCTCCGACTTCCGAAATCTCGCTCACTTCAGGTACTGTCATCGACACTGCTGGCGTCCTCATTGACAACCTCTCACCTACTTCAGATGTTTCATCATACACTTCACTTGGGACTATCTGAAGGTTGATCACTCTCGCTTCCCCGCAACCAGGCGATGGACGAATCAACATCTTAGTCGGCCACGGGTAGTTCGGTGTTTGGACGGCCGGTGGTTCCATCTTCTGAAGGTCGTCTAGACGTTGAGACTCTCGAGCCTGGGCTTTGGCAGATATAGTATTCTCATAAATGAGAGTCTGCCACTCCCTATATCTTCGAGT